CAGACAGAGACAGAGAGAGTACAACACTTAAACCACTATACTGCTTGCTGGCCCCCACCTGTCCTTTTTCATTTGGGAAGATTCCCCCCATAATGTGTAACCACTTCAGTGCCCGTACCCTAAGGGCAGAGAGAGTGAGCACAATTCAGGCCTTTGCTTTGGCACGTGCTGGGTGGGGTGGGGAGGAGTAGGCAACAAACGATTGTGTTTTTTTGAGCTTGTTAAGGCAAGTTCTCCCCTGCCCGCCCCGTGGCACCATTTCATGTTTCTTCTTCTTCTTCTTTTTTTTTTTCCATAGGGCACGTGTGCTCGCCAGAAAGACAGAGACATTTTTTTTTTCTATAGGGCACGTGTGCTCGCCAGAAAGACAGAGACAGAGAGACAGAAAGCGAGAAATCACCCCCCAGAGGAGATGGCCATGCCGCAATCCTTTCTCCTTCATTCTCCTCTCGGGATCTTGGGCACACACACACACACACACACACACACACACGCCCGGCATGAGTTTAAGCTCCTGGGTCCAGGACTCGAACCGCGGTCGACTACACGGGAGTCCAGCCACATAGCCATTACGCCAACTGCTGGTCCCCCCATTTCATCTGTTTCTAAGCTGGATTAAGTACAGCGGTGACCTCTGAAAGGCTGTGTAATAGGTTTGTAAGTATGTTAGACCATACAAAATAAAAAGAGGGGCCCAGCTGTGGTGCAATCCTGGAACACACCCTGGAGTCAGGGTGCCGGTCAGCCTGAACGTTCTGGGTGCTCCTATGGGCACATTTGTGCTGCCGTGATTCAGGCTGGCTGGAGGGCTGGAAGGAGAGTCTCAGCATGGCAAGATTCTGGGGATTCCTCATTCTTGTGAAAGGAAGAAAGAAATAAGCATAAAAAAACAGAGAAGTTACGCTTCGACTAATGATGACAGCGTGTGTTAAATCAAGGATTGGGATGAATTCTGTGCACCGAAGTTTTATTGTAGATGCTCATTTGTTGAAAATAGGAGGGAATGAACCTATCTTGGTGCTTAGGGGGCAGCTGTTCCTAAAGGAGAATCTTCTAGGCCTCCTGGTGACATCGGCCTGCATGGGCACCGTCTAGGTAAACAGCCTCTTTCCCCAGTCCCTCTGGAACCAGGTTTTTGAAGATTTCTCTGCCAGTTGCCATGGCTAGGTGTTAGGCCCTCTATTTGTCCGGGATTAGAGAAAAGTCACAGAGTTTCTAAAACCAGCTTCCTGTCCACATACGGCATCTGAGAAGAGAAAAACCAAGGAACACCCCTGGAAAAGTCTGGCAGGGAGCTAAACAGCAAGCTGAAAGTAAGGACGGTCCAGTGGCATGACTAGATCGTCTGGAAATAATTATGTGACTTATTATATGTGTGGGCCATTACTATGCTAAAAAGGATAAGCAGATTAAAATGAAAAGAGTTTTAGTACGAATGTAAGAAGGATGGCATTACCAAGTTTTGGATGCCATTAGCCGTAACAAAGTTCGAAATTAATCCTGACACCGAGCGGGATCCTAAAGTACTTGTAAGCAAGGAGAGGGTCGCGATGGCAGAACCTGTAAACTGATGCCAGTTGACAGTGCACAGCTGAGCACTCCCTGTGGGGGCGGCTGGCAAATACATTCACTATTTTGCCAACTCCAGTAAAGTGTTACAAAATTGCAACAACGTGTTTCCATGCAAACAATTGCTTAAGAAAGGATCCTTCCATCAACTAACTGCAATTCAGTCCTATCCGGGTAAGCACAAAGCCAGGGGCTACATTGAAACTATCCGAAGTTCTTTTTCTTGGCATAACACTATTAGGATCAACTTTTTCACTCCTCTCCAGCTCCCTTTCCCTTCCATCACTCTTTTCATGTGTCAATACAACTTTAATTTTCGTGATGAAAGAGTAGAGGACAGAAGGGGAAGGGATATTTGAGACAGCAAGTGAAAAGGAGTGGGGAGGCGGGCCAGACAAGGAAAACCGGGAAGTCACTCCACTTCATCTGTGAACAGGGATCACAGGCGTCTGTGTCCTGACCCAGTCGGAGAGGCCATGCCCCACTAGCTGAGAAAGGGGCGTCGGAGACCTGAGCTCTGTGCTCCCAGCCACGCCCCACCCACGTTTGCGTCAAGGCTGTCCCAGAAACCCCGCATCCTGACACTTAATCAGAAAACCACTGGGGACAGCAGCTAGCTGAACTCTCTACTCTCGGGACATTGTGGACTCTTCTGGAAAACGGGGCTAAATCAAGTTCTTTGAACATTTTTTTTTTCTACCTTGAAATTAGATCCATAAAAAACGAGTTAAAAACCCATAGAAAGCGAGTTCAGTCGCTTTCAGGAGCCCTTGCCCTCAGCAGATGCTGTAAGAATGATGGCTCAAATAGCAGCATTTTAAACTGGCAAGGGTCTTCTGGCTGAGAGTGTCCGAAAGAGTGCAAAGACATTTTCGCAGGAACTGTCCAATCTACAAAAACCCTACCGGGATAGGAGGCGACAAAGCCCCCAGCTCTGCGCTCTACCCGCGGCCCTTGCGCTTCAGGACCCGTGGCGATTTCCCTTTCCGCACCGAGGGCAGCCGAACCGGGTCAGCCCTTCCAGGTGACTCGGTAGCCCTAATCCTTGGTGATCTCCGGAGGTCACTGTAACTGTCCCCATTTTGCAGCTGAAGAAGAGGCAGGGCTTGGCAGGAGCGATGGAGAGGGGCAGAGATGGGTGGGGGAGAAGGGCTTTTTCCTCATTACTTAAAAAAAAAAAACACTCAAACTAAAAAATAAATGAATGAATAAATAAAATAAAATAAAAAATAATTATTAAAACAAACAAAACTATTTAAACCGTCCGAAAAATGCCTTACTTCCAACAGTATTTCCTTCGGGGTCAATTTCTTTGGTCTCATCTCTGAAACCAAGAAACGCAAGTATGTTTCTGTAAATGAGAACAAAGACGAGCCCCCCGGCCCCCTGCCTCACCGCCCAGCCACAGAGAATAGCAGTGACAGCGGAAACAGGGTGAGAATCCGCGGGCGTGAGGACGCCGGAGTCGCCGGGTCGGCAGATTCAGCGGAGCGGGGAGACGATGCCTCGCTGGCACACCCCTCCGGAAAACCGAGGCGTCGTCTTTAACCCCCGGGGCCAGAAAGATTGATGACTTCCTCCGCGAGGGCGAAGCTCGGACCAGCGGGGAAGGGCGAGCAGCGTGTCTGCGCCTGCGAGCCGCGCTCCGCGTCCTCTGCGCGCTCCGGGGCGCCGGCGTGTCCCAGGCTCCCCGAGGGGCCAGCCTTGTCGACCCCGGGAGAAGAGCGGCCAGGACGGCCGCGGGAGGATTTCTGCCCAAACTTATCCCCAACTCTCTCTGAGAACGAAAACGTGCGGCCGGGGCCGAAAACCGCACGCAGAATCCGAGTCCGTAGTTCCAGGTGCCGAGGCGCTTTGAATCCCGCGTCCGCGCGCCGGAGACTTGCTCCTGGAGAGCTGCGCCCCGGGACGCACGGATGGCGGCCCAGCGGCGCCCTGGTAAACCCGGTCGCATCTCCAACCCCAGGGCGGCGGCAGGGGCGCCGGGCGCTGCGAGGGGCGGCGCGGCGGGCGGAGGAGGAGCGCGGCGCGGCGAGGG